CCCCGTAACGAGCAACCACTATGAGACAGAGTAGAATAGAGAGCTAGGGGTAGATCTAGGGGTAGGGGTAGGGTTAGGGTTTAGGTAAGGGTTAGATCTAGGTCTCTTCTTCATTGTGTTGTTGGGGTGGTTGCTCATTACGAAAGTCCTTTCCCCCCTTTTATTAATATCTGGTAAATGTGACCCCCCCTTTTATTTGGAACCCCACAGAACACTAACAACTTGGTTTCGTTCACCCATATTAAAACAACAACAGGCCTAACACGAGTATGTTTACCACCACAGACTATAAATAGAACAGCTCTCTTCGCTTACTCTGCGTGTAGCACTGGTTGTCACGGACAGTGCCGCAAGCTGTACTGTCTCATTTACATTGCTAGGTCTCTGTTTTAGAAAGAGTTTTACGGCATTTGTGGGTCAAACATATAAGTGCTGAAGATTAGTGGTGTTACTAGAGAATAACATACAAAGAAAAGATGAGAAGAGATAAGGACAATAGATATTTGACAGGAAAGAAGGAGCATATCCCATCATAGGACCTGCCAGCCCCCTACAAGATAAAACTTAATTTTATCTTTTAATTTAAGCCTTGAAAATTTATTTGAGATTGAGACATCCTTTTTTTAAAACAATAAATGCAAATTTCAGGAAAGACTATAAACATGGGTAGAGCAGATCATACAGAGCAAAACATCTGTTAAACAATTGCTTAACTCAAAAGAGTGTCAGAATGTCATGTTCCAATACAAATACACTGCTCATGGTTTAATGAAATAATAATAAAGTAGTCTCCATCTAAGATCCTGGTGCTCAGGAGCAAGGAAAATGTGGGATCTTAGGCGAACCGGGATCTTAGCCGAATGGCCAAAGGGAAGAATCCACAGTAACTCGTGGTCAGGCCCATAATCTGTGCAATGAACTTCCCTTACTTTAAAATGAACTGACGTGACTCCTTGGCACTAAAAGTTCCTTTCAGAAGTAAGTTTTTCCTTTTTTTTTTTGTGGGGGGGGGGCTTTAAAAAATACTGTGTCAGGTGGGAACCAGTTGGCTCCAAGCAATGCCCCCCCACCAAAATGTATTGTTTTCCATCTCTAACGGAGTTCCCTGCCCATGTCATGATGCTTCATAAATCGTTGAGTTGTGACCACACCCACCAAACTTTAAAGAGAGGAAAGGCAGGTTCACTGCCAACAAAAGACCCCATTACGCAGAAGCGATTGGACAGTCCATGAGGATGGGTGCCAGTCTGTCCAGGAAGTTAAATCGCAAAACTGAAAGGCGAGAGTGATGGTCGGGAAAACATAAGCGTCCATGAGTTCACAGTTTGATAGAATGCAGTCTGGTGCTTGCTTGTAGGCCCTCCCCACCTGGTGTGTGATGTAAGATCAGGCTGACAGCTCAGGTGATAAGGGAAAGCAAGGCATCGACGAGTTCACACCTTGATGCAATCCCGTCTGGGGTAAACATTGTGACCGCTTATCAACATTTACAACACAGGTGTGATCGCATTCACGAGAGTGAATGATCCGTGACGCGACGGACCGTACAATGATCGCAAAATTTTCGCTACTTGGTTGGTCAGCTGAGCGCACCCAGGTTTCTTATTCATTTTTCTTAAATAAAGAAAAAAAACAACAAATTACGACCTGAAAAGCGGGATCTTAGCTGAATGTAACTCCTTCATCCATAAGCAGTGGGATCTTAGGCGGAGACTACTGTATATCTCAAATGCAGAGAAACAATCCTTGTTGACTTGAGATTCAGAGGAATCTGCTTGAACCAAACACAGTTTAACTAAAAGCAGTGATAAACAAGCTGAAAATAAAATGCCTGAGTTTTTGTTTTTCTTTTCTTCGAGCAACCCCTCTGAACTTAAAACCCAGCTAAACCTAAGAAAACCCAGAGGTCCTGCAGATTTCGGTTTAAACAGACTCCACTGTATATCTTTGAAAACGAGATATGCGCTGGTACACCATACGGCTCAACAAACAAGTGTCAAAATCATAGCCTATAGCTACGTACACAGCTCAGAAAGGCAACATGAAGAAACTTATTGAATGAGAAATGCAGAAAGAGTGTACACCCAAGCTGCATTATTAACATATGATAGTTTGAGCCATTAGCTTCAATACACACCCAAATGATAGCAATAAACAGGTAGACACAGGTTCAAAACACAAAGACCAAACTGTCGCTCAAAGTGGATTCTCACACAACATGATTTCTGGCACACAGTTTTTTCTCTCCCTCTCTGTCGACATTATCACTTCTGCCCTCTTTCATTGGTAGTAATGTGCTCTTCTAGTCCTGAGATCCTGTAAATCTGGATACAAGCCTGAAAAAGAAAAGAGGAGAAGGTAAAAAATACAATCAATCATTATAAAAATCAAGTCAAATTCGTATTATTATCTAAAAATGATAACATGGTGGCAAAAAGCAATGTCACAAATTATTGTCATAAATATAATGTACATATAAACAGGAATTAATGCAACTGCCGAGGATGCATTCTATACTTTTCATCTTTTTTCCCTGCATAGGTAAACTTTTCCGCATTTTTGTTTCTTGTGTGAATAGGAAGCGCATATGAAGAACTCTGAGACAAAATAGGCAAACTTCAATATTCAAACTTCCCCTATTTTTCCATTTTAGACTAATAGCGAGATCTATCCCTTTCCTGCTTAAAAAGTTTGTTTGCAAAATGTGTTGTAGCAAATGAATTTATACTGTTTTTCCTATAACAGCATACAGATTGTGAGTAAAATAATCGGCTTTGTCTAATCTTTTTTCCCCCTTTTTGATAACAATAATAACAGACCTTGCCACACAGCTCTTGGTTGCTACAGCAACGACACTGATGCTATATTTCCAGAACACATTGTGTTGTTTCTTATCTTTTTTCTGACTATGTTTTTCTAAGAAACACAGTTGAACCTGTCCAAAACAACCACTTATTGTTGTGAAGAAAAGTAGTTGCCTTATACAGGTGGTCCTCTTGGACAGCGCCATTAAAATTAAGGGACAACATAACGAGGGACGTGGGAAGTGGTCATTAGTAGACCTGATGGTCTAGGACAAGTGATCGTTAGAGCAGGTTCAACTGCAGTTCACACACAAATGTAGCTAGGTCTAAATTCAAAACAAATCAGTTCATAATGTACTGCTCTCTATAGTAACTTAACATGTGCACATGTAATTCAAATCTTGAAGACGGATGCATCAAAACAAATTGAACAGTCAGTACAAATTACAATAAATTAGAATAAAACACCTCATGACCACTTTTATCCTCAAAAATTCAAAAGCTGACTAATCACAATCCTTGCCATTTAGACAATTATTTTGCTACAAGTGGCCTACACAGAATTAAAAATACCCATCCAAAACCCTAACAACCCCCCCAACCACCCCCCCCACAATTGCTGACTTTTTACATCAAATCAGAAAATCAGCATCCCAAGTCACAAAACATAAGGCAGTCCATGTGCTCACGTTGTTGCGATGAGGAACCAGAGCTGTGTGGTAGATTCTGCCTCCGGCTTTCCTCCATTGCCCTCCTCAGCTGTTCATCTTCGTCCAAGCCACCTGAGCAAAAGTACATTTGGAGGAAAGTTTTGGTTAAGTGGGCTCAAAGGTCAGTTTCTGGGTCCAGAGGACCTACTTTTTTCTTCCCAACGCTGTAGCATTAGTATTTCCACATTCTAACAAAAGGTACAGCTGGAAGAAACATCCAGCAATATCACTGTCACCGCCATGCTTTATAATTACACACATATGGTTCATTTCAAGAAACCAAATGGCACCAAAAATCTCTTAACTGGTGAGGGAAAAAAAAACCCCACCCAAAACCCCCTCCCTCAGAATATTGTTGCCATCCTTTCTTATGAAAACAACAACTGTTATAAGTAAGTTTGATTAAAAAAGAGAAAAGACATGACAGTATGGAAAGAACTGTTTAAAGTGGGCCTGAAAATGTGTATTTAAAAAAAATTTTGAATTAGGTTTTAATGTATTTGGACCAATATCAAACCACCAAAACAGAACTTTATTAATATTATAAGCCATAAGCTATGAATGCTTTATATAAAATGCTCTGAAAGCTCATATATATACAGAAGTAAACACTAAATTTCTAAGTACACAAAAAAAAGGGAGCCTTTTCCTCTTCATCTCATCAATGTGTTAGTTCATTCTTCTTGAATACTCCCAACCTGTATAGTCTTGATAGCCAGGAGCAGAAGGCTGAGTGTTGTGAGCTCCGTTCCTCCACCCATCACTTCCTTCATAAGGAGCACTCGGAGCTGCTGACCCCCCAAAATATGACGGACTGTGTGGTCTGCGTCCCTGATGAAATCTAGGTCGGCCGCCAAATAAATTGGTGAAGGAGGAAAAAGGTGAACTGGCTCGGGAGCCGCTTGCACTTCCTCCTCTAGAAGATCCTGGCTCACCTGTAAGGAGAAGCCATTTATTTATTATATATATATATATATATACTATACAAGAAAGAAACGTTTCAAGGAAAAAGATGTAGTTGTACACAATCGTTATTATTACAGTAGCAATATAGAATATTTGCTATCATTACTGTTAGACTAACTGGCTGGTGAAAGGGTGATTGTAATTCACATCACCAACACACTGACAGTCTCACTCATTTCAGTGCCATCTATTTCTGACAATAGAGGCTAAATCCGCAAAAAAAAAAAAGAATAAAAGAATACAGGAGATAAAGATCTAAAGATTAAATAAATAACTCACATCATAATAACTTAATTTGACCTATTTTCACATCATAGAATTTTCGTAGGTTACTTTTGAGACTAAGATTTATTCTTGATAAAAAAAAACAACTCCAAAAACTCCCAATAACAGAAAAGATTTCAAATATCAAAATTTCATAGTACACCTTAAGAGGTATGAAAATGTCTTTCCTTTAAATAGGAGCCCCGCATGAAATACACAGTTTAGACCAATATAAAATATGTCTGAGACTATAGAGACTTCTGAAAAACCGATCTGGTAATCATAATTTTATTTTCTTTCGCGTTTTCTCACCTGGACGTAAAAAGGCATCCATGAGTATTTTCAGAGGTCCTCTGGTGTATGCCAGCCCAACCAGGATGCCAGCCAAGTGACCTGGGGGGGAAAAAACAGAAAAAAGATTTCAATGGTAAGATAGAAAACAAAATAATAGTCCAGTCGAACCTGCTGTAACAGCCACCTGTCCAAGACGGTTGCTTGTTCAAACGACACTTCCAGCTTCCCCCACCCCCATGGGTTTTTTTTTTACCATCTATTATGATGACACTGTCTATGATGTCTGCCTGTCTAAGACAATTACTTTTTTTCTCATCACTGGATGACTGTCCTGAACAGGTCAGAGCACACTTCCTAGCTGACTCACACCCAAAACCAAATTTTCTCCTGACTAGAAAGTTTTTCCATTCCACCTAGAGTCAGGATAGGGAATTGAGTTTTCTCCTGTAATATAAGTCAAACGTGCAAACTGCAACAACTGCTTTAAAGAATAATCTTTAAAGATCGCAGTATATTTTTCTCAGCTGTATATCCTAATAATAACCCTAATGTAGATCCTTATGTCCTTTCGCTGTATTATTTTGTTACACACAGGAACTTCTAGAAAGACAGATATATATCTTTTAAAAAGCAGAAAAGCAAACCATTACTACGAAAAACTACTTGCTTACCGATAAAAGACGCATTTGGAGTAACCAGCTGAATGAGAACCAACTCCGCCCAGAACATGTACTTGGAGGGCACAGGAATAAAACCAAAGGCATATTGAACGCCAGGAGGTGAATACTCTGTGGTAACCACCTTCAATGCAAACAGAACACCTGGAAAAGAAAAGTGTTTCCTAAAAGAAGGGTTGTGAAGTAATTAACATAATTTTCTTTTTCTAACAATAAAAATACAGAGACTGTTAGCAGATTATTTAACACACTATCACTATGCTGTTGTAAAAAAAAAGAAAATACCGAATCAAAGCAGTACACAAAATCATTCAAGCACATTTTAAATCCACATGTAAAAGCAGTAAGTAAAGATTAAAGGACCCTGTAGCAATTAAAAAGGAAAAGGCGGAGTTTAAAAAATAGAGAGATAATTCGCTTTCTCCCAAACCCTTCACAACGAATTCAGGCAAGTTATACAACCAGCTTCATCCGTTTAATAATAATAATAACCCCAAAAAGTTTATTTATAAAGCACTGATTTTAGTGTGGCAGAGAAAAGGTCATGCTACTAACCTGAAAATCCCACAGCACAACTTGTCAAGTAGCTCTGGTCACCCAACAGCTGGCTGAGAGCTATACCAAGACCAACATAAACGATGCTGGTGAGGGGTGTGAAAACGGCCACCAGATACGCAAAGTACGGACTTCCGAACCTGCGCTCCAGTGTGATGCCTTTGTAGAGCAGGCTCACCATGTTGAAGTACAGGTGCATGTCAGAGGCGTGGTAAAACGCTGCCAGGATCATGCGCTGCCAGTCATGATGCTCGTACACTGAAGATAGTTTAAGAAAAAAAAGAAAGACACATGATAGAAAAGAAAACTTTTAAAGATTTTTTACTCTATGATTTCTGTAAAGGAGAACAAAACAGAGTCCAGTAGGAGATGGATGAGGTGGAAAGAGGGTGATGAAGATGAATGGTAAATACTCCAGGCAACTGCATAACAAAGAAGAAAGCGCTGGGTTGAAGTCACCAGGGTGAGAGATCAAGGACAGGCCATGTTTTCGCTGTGTGCATGTTTAACCATGTACAAAATTGTATATGTTCGTTGTGTGTATTCTAGACTGTTGTAAAAATATAATATATCTCATAGAAATTTTTACCATACTGATACAGTATAACACGGATAGCTTGAATTCATCGGGACCGGCCTCGTTTGAGGAATCCATAGTTCGAGGGAGATCTTACAAAGATAAAGAAGGAAAAAAAACGTGACTGCAGAGCAGGCACTCTTCAACAGATGCATGATTTCGAGTCTTCTGTGTTCGACCTATCTGCGTTATACTGTATATGCATAAATACTATGTTTTACGTACACACAAGTCTATTAATTTTTAAGGTGTGATACTTTTATTAATGTAGTAATGTGCATTGAGCCTTTTTTAGAAAATGGAAATGCGCATCATAAATGCTACAGTGCAGCATCTCTATAACAACATCGTCCGGAACTGAAAAAAATGTCGTCATAGAGAGTTGCCGTTATAGAGAGGCAACCATATTACTAATGATATCATATATATGAAAGGAAAAAATCTGGATATGGGCACCATGTTGTTATACAGAGGAAGTCGTTATATCAAAGGATGTTATAGAAAGGCTGCACTATATTTACTATTATTATTATTTAACAAATTTCTACGACCTACCTAAATATGAGCTCATGCAAATGGCATGGGGTGATGGAAACTGCCTGGGAAAAAGATCCAAAAAGATAGCAGCCTGGCCGACCACAAGGGCCAGCGTAACTGGAGGAATATGTTCCAAGCCCATGTTCATCATCTGTGCTGCTAACAGCATCACACCAAGGTTGCCTCCCCCTCTTCTGTGATTCACCATTGTTGGGGATTCTCTTCAAACACTCTCAGGAGTAAGTTAGGCTATGAAGTCACACTGCTAAATCTTGCAAATCTGGAGAAAGGACACACAATTCAAATCATAACCCAGACAGACTATAACGATTAAAAAAAACATTCTTAGCTTCCCAGCAAAGCATTATATAAGTTTAAACTAAAAGATAACATTATAGTGCAGTCGAAAATTTGTGGCGCAACTTATCCTCAAATATTTCTTTAAGGGGTGAATCAATTCAATGCCATCCATACTTTGCACAGCAGTTTGTACCAATTTGTCTTAACTGTTTAATCATATTTCCCAGAACAACTGGGGCTAGATTATAAAATTTTTCTTCATAAATTTATAAAATACAGCACTTCCCGCTTCTCACATACAATTTGACTACGCATGGCCTACATCACAGCTCATCAATGACAATTTTTACTTGCAAAACTTGTTACAACAAATTATTTTTTATAGTGAACACATTTTTTGCACTATATCTAATGGATCTCAAAACATGCATTCAATTCTATGTCCCGATTAGAAAAACATGACGGACTTGCTATTAAAAGCAATATTGCCCCAGCTGTAAATAACATTAAAAAATCTATAGAAACCACCCGCTTGGATTTTTTATTATTAAGGAATTTTCTAGAATACAGCTTGCAGGAGTTTACAAAAATGATGATCTGCAAGACAAATTGACAAGTCACTGTGCAAAAATTGGAGAACATTATGTTCGATAGTTGAGGAGATATTTGACAATAAGTCACGCCACGAATTTTTGACCGCACTGTAACTGCATGTAGGAAGTGTTAAGCTGTCAAATATATCCTGAAATTAACAAAAAATATCACTGATGGTTAAACATAAAAACTGTTGCCGTAAAACTATGGGTTTCAAAAGTGACAGTAATAAAAACCCACTCTCTCACTCACTACACACTGTGCAAGGAAAGTTGAGAGAAAAAAACCTTGATGGGGAGTCTTGTCTATTAAATTGAATGCATGTTGAGTGACATAAAATTAACATTAACAGTGTCCTGGAGGGCTTTTCTGTGAGTGAGAAAAATAGAAAATGGAGATACAGCTGGGAGGAAAGATGAAAAGGCCAAAAAATTTCTTTGACTTTGTGTCTTAATCAGTGCATAGTGCAGGCTACCTACCTGCCTCCCTAGACATCAGAAATTATACTCTTCTATACAAACGAAAAAACACAGCTGATAAAAACCTGTAAATTCTTAGCTATATATCGACTGGTCCAAGGGCTAGAAATCAAATGGCCCCATGATCGGAAAAGTAAAGGAAAGTAAAATTAAGTCAGATCTATTGGAACTTTTATATATATATTGATGTTTAGGGATGTTGTCATGCTTGAATAAAAAGGGCCAAAAAAAGATGATATTATATGAAATCCTTTTGTATACTAAAAGAATTTCGTATTAAACGGCCTTAGGGGGGCTCTCGAGGTCTAGAGGTTAGGTAAAGGTGTTCACCTCTCATCAAAGGTCATGGGTTCAATCCAAGCAGCGACCTAAAAGTTAAGTTTTCTTCTCTACAATTGTCTCCTTTCACCTCATTTCCGGCTCTCTAGCAATGTTCTGCCATATATATATGCTTTCGTCTCAACTTACAAGAGCAGAGTAAGTCTGATTTCCTGTTTGGACTTCTCTGTTGACATCCACCCTTTGCTGGGGGGCTCTATATCTGTCGTCTGCTTTCGTCTCCACTTTCTTACCCCACCGCCTCACCTCCTTTGCCCCCTCTGGGCTCCTGGCTCTTTCTGCAGCCTTTCTACTGCTACTGTGCTGCTACTCCCTGGCTCCTTCTTACAGCAGTCTTTTAGTCACACCCCTGATCTTCTGGTAGGAAGGAAGATCTACCTTTAGCCTTCTTCGACAAGGGCGAACAATCTCGGAGGCCCTGAGTGCAAGTTGCAGCAAACTGCACATATGTTCAAGATCCCTCGCTGGTCTAAAATCAATAAGAGTAAGCTTCGGACGCCACCCGGGCAAAATTAAAAATACCCTACCAACTGAAAATGTTTTATAACATGTCCCACACGCTCAATGACCTTAAGCAACTCTGCGGGCGCCGTAAAAAAATTAATTTAAAAAACGGCCTTCATGTTTTTTAAACAAAACAGTCTGCTGTTCGAGAACAAAAACCGAAGACGGTGCTCTGACTCTCATCCCCACTTGACTTTGTTACAATGACTTGAATAGGTTGACTGAAAAATAACATCATCATCATCATCACCATCATCATTACCGACTCAACAATTCCCCTTTCATATAACAATCTGCACCATTACTTTCTCTTTACGTAACAAAAAAAAACGGGCACCAAAATCAGGACACGGAAAAAAAAAAGGTTGACTGAAAAATACTTTATTTTTTTCTACTATAGTCTAGATCTATAGATATAGCCTACTAAATAAAAACAAGTGTAAGGTGTATACCTAGATCTAGATTTTAGATCTAGATCTAGAATCTAGATCATATCTAGATCTAGATTCTAGATCTAAAAACATTGCCAATGTTGGTGTGGAATCAGGTGCTCGTCAATTTTTGGGCAGATCTATCTAGATCTAGATTTCTAGATCTAGATTTCTAGATCTAGATCTAGATTTCTAGATAATATATAGTTGAAAACATTTTACCCTGCAGGTACTGACTGATAGTTGCAGAACTGTAGCAAGATCTAGATCTAGTACATGGGAAATATAAACAGTATAGGAAATGTATACCTTTCAAGAAAAAACACAACCGCTGCATACAGTGATTGTTGAACCAACTGTTCACCATATCAAAACAAACACGACAGGCCTAGCCAGTATTCGCAGATCTTGGAAAAAGTATCGATAATTGGAATCGATTAAAAGCTAGGCAAGCCCAAACAGTTTGTCACAGGGCCGTCACAGGCCTCCCCACCGTGCCCTGCACAATATATTGTGATGGAAGAATTATCACTGACCCTTTCAAAAAGAGTAAATTATCAATTGATTGATTGTAAGAATTGAATTTTATTTTTTATTTTTTTTAAATGAAAGAACATTCTTTGTTGAAGTTTTAATGTGTAATTTGCTTTGATTTGCATACCAAAAGGAAGAAATATTGAACTACACAAGTTGAATTGATATTTAAGATCATGGGACTAACTGTAATTATATGATTGTCATCAATACTCAAATACTTAAATGAATTTGTGACAAAAGGCGGCCCCCGCCCAAAGATAACAAAATAGGCAAGTGTCTTTCAAACTTTTTTAGAATATAGATGAATAAACATTAATGACCAAAGATCTGAGAGGCGTTACCACAGAATTCTACACTCAGTGTAGAATTCTGTGGGTGTTACTCAAGATTGACACATCGTTAATGTCTGTAATAAGATTAAGATTTAGGAATAGTAAAAATTATAGGTCTAAGAAAGAATAATTTTCAAAATCAATGCAAAACAATATCTGTGAAGTATTTGTAAAAGAATAGTATAAGAAAAGTATAGGCAGTAGAAATTGCATAAGTTTTTGAACATTGTTATCATCAGCGGACCCCCTAAGGAGAGATCAGATTTTGAACCCCTCTTTTTTACGATTACAAGCAACAAGCAATACCGCAGAAAACAGTTCGATACTGAATTGTTTCAATGATACTATCTTTGATTGTTTCCTGTTGACAATACTATCACTATTTATAGCTATAGAACGTTCCCCCAGCCCCCAGCCTGTTGTACTGACGTGGCCTTAGCTGTTGACGCAACCTTTCCATCTTGTTACATCTGGTCTTTCAAAAGAATTGGTATGTGTGTAGGGCTTGCAAATGCCTAAGATGTTAAACTTACGTGAATGCTGTTTATAAATCATGAATCATGTTTAGAAATCGATCGGCGGTTCTGAATATTCTGTGCCGTGGAGGAGTAAAAGTTCAAATCATTACATGTCAACAATGAAACAAGAATGAAATTTAGTGAAACAAAAAATTCAACTTATTTTCACGTATTGTAGAAAAATAATTTATTACTTGAGTTGTGGTAGTAGATCTCTAGATCTAGATCTATCTTGATTTATCCTACGAGTAAAAATGTTAAGTAGATCTAGATCTAAATCTAGATCTAGATATAATCAAATAATCAAAGATAGTTAAATAAAGTAAGTAGGATCATTCAAGTTGGCTACCACCACCATAAGGAGTGCAATAAATTTTTTTATACCATACTGATATCTGCTGGCGACCTAGATCTAGCTCCGAATCAACAATGTGACCAGCCAATTGGACTAGAGGAACCTTTCTAGCGTCTCACATTAAAGCGAAATTCGAAGTGACTATTATATTTCTCCGAACGTTCGGGAAAATAAAGTTGAACTGTATTTCTCAGAACGGTTTCCAATCTCGAGATTTTTTGGTTACTTGCGAGATTTAGCGTCATCCTTTCTTTCATTCTGCCATTCTGCGAGGACTGGGAAGAGGCATTTTTTGCATCGATTCAATTTCTAGAGCTAGAGATTTTTAAATGTCTGAATATATTCAGATACTTCAGTTGTGGTTGGGGCAACGTTCCCGGACTATAGGCTACTTCATTTGAAAATACCTTCAAAAGGTACTGCGAGAAAACTAGATTGCTCGACCTTATGTAACCAATTTTTCATTTATGTCACCCAGCAAAAACTAAAGAAATAGAGCCAGCCAACGAAATTTTTTGTCTGTCGAGTCAGAGTGAAGAGTGAGGATTGTAAAAAATCTGGATTGTTTTCCTTTGCGGCACTAGTCGACTTGTGATGTCCCGCCTCAGGAGGCGGCCATTTTGGATTGGAAATACGAAAACGGAAGTGGGGCGTAGTTTTTTGGGACAGCGGAAAGTGCTAACCAAAAAGAAGCCAAAAAAAGGCAGACTGTCCCGGGGTTTTATGCACTCAGCATACTTTATTAAATTTTTTGTTCTGTTTGTACAATTTCAGGTTTATTTCTTTGTGTGCATAAAATCGCGGGGGTAGTCTGCTAAATTTTTAAAAATTAGACATTATGTTTTATTTATTAGGCTATATTTGACCTCGCCTAATTTCACATTTTTGGGTTCTGTTTGCACAATTTCAGATTGTTTTTTTTTTCTGTGCATAGAATCGCGGGGGTAGATTAGTCTGCTAAATTTTTAAAAATTAGACATTATGTTTCATTTATTAGGATATATCTTACCTCGATTGTTATGGGCATGGTGCCCAGCAAAGTCGTAAAAAAGTCGTAAATTCGGCGCTCTGGTCGTAATGCGCCTTGAAGGTAGTAAACATTTGGTAAACGGTCGTAAATTAATCTGCGTAGGGAGTGATGAAGCCAAAACAGGCTTCATTGAACCCTAGCCGCGGTACATGACTCCATTTTAGCCGGTCGCTATTGTGATATAATATTCGTTCTCCTTTTCCCCGTCCGAGAGTACGTTTCACGCAAAAAGCCAGTTATGGCGGCAGGCGAAAGTGTGCGTGACACCGAGGCTTGATTGGGAAAATCAAGATCTACTTTCGCTTTCAGAAATAAGCCGATGATAGACTGATAACTAACGCAACATTTGTGACATGCACGTTGTGCAGTATAGATATATATATATATATATAATATATATATATATATTGATCTGTCTAAACGCTGTGCCGCCACGCAAATAAAATTTAATTAGTACTCGGATTCGTCTCTGTGCTGTCATTGTCATATATGGGGGGGGGGGGGGGGGGAGAAAAGAAAGTACAAGCGTCGTCTGATTTTTAGATTGTCGGGCTCGCTATCGTGACTGGTCAATGAACCTGTGCGCGCATGAGCACCGGCGTTTGTTGTTGGGGTCGCCAAAGTTCATTCAAAGTCTGAGCGTTGCGAAGTATAGGCCTAGAACTACCGAATGGGAGGGGATTATTGATTTTTTTAAAGATGCACTCGGGGGAGGGGGTGGGGGTGCTACAGGCAACACCAGAGGACAAAAACTTTGTATGGGTGATAGTAAATTATAACAATATTGTAGCTTTCTGTTCAAGGCTGGCAAATTTTCATTGTCTCTGCATCTTCTCCCCCCCCCCCCCCCCTCAGTTCTTACAACTCTCTCACTTCATGGGTAATTTTTGCCTTTCATATTCATAATATATGAGTCATGACACCCACATTGGTTCTTCACAGTCGAAATTCTTGTTCAAGGCCCTTCCGAACGCTCAAAGCAGGATTCTTTTTTTAATATAATATATTAATGAGAGGAAAATTTTTAACTCACTGAAATACTTAGGCTAGTCAAACAGGACCCCAGTTCAACACTGACATATGTTGTTGACTGGGTATATTGTGTGTGTGTGTGTGTGTGTGTGTGTGTGTGTGTGTGTGTGTGTGTGTGTGTGTGTGTGTGTGTGTGTGTGTGTGTGTGTGTGTTGTTATGTAACACGCCTCTGGAAAATGGATGACTTTGTTGCATGTTATTTTCGTTCCATATATATTATGTAGGCCTAATGATAATATGTTAATGATGGCGCAAATGAACTCCCTTTTTCGAACTGGTATTGGACTTGATTTGCTGGGTAGTAATTTTTTTTTCCAGGTAGTAAATTTTTTCAGCAAATATTGCTGGACACCCTGTATGGGATAGGATACCACTGAGATAGATGAAGAAGGATATTGCTCAGTGCTTCTTCTCCTGTTTTCCCGTGGATTTCTCACCACAAAAATTCATCTAGGTGTCCTGCGAGCATTGTCAAGTGCACCCCCGCCATAGACTTGAATCTTGCTTTGCAATTTTTCCAAAAGCATTCTATGCGATTTGTGCACGCTCCAGTGACAGGATCTACAAAATATATGTCATGGATTACTGTCTGGTGCTGGTAGGGTGGTACCACCGGGAGGTTTGGAATGCCCTGGTACGCTGCCCAGCCGTCACTAATAATAGTGGTTCCAGGCAGAATGTTGTTTTGGATAATGGGCAGTAAGGTGGCTGCCGTCCTATCGGGTACTTCTTCTATGAAACCACGCCGTGTGCTCCGGCAAATACCTCCAAACACCCAACGCTCAGGTACAGCGTGTCCTCTATTGTATTTTCTCTTCGCTATCAAACTTTTGTCTATTTCTACCGTTTCACCGGGTCCCCCAATTGGTACAGGATTATTTACAAGCCAGTGGCTACAAATGTCCCTAAAATAGGAAAACCATTGAATAACTGAGTCGTTACCAATGAGAGTCAGTTCACACGTTGTGGAAACTGAAATTTTATAGGCCCACAGAAACAACAATTGTACAATGCTTTGAAATTTAAGATGCTGATTTTCAAAAAAAGATTCTTTACGTAAATAAATTTTAGTACTTTTGTGGGAAGGACAGCGAAAGGCTTTTTCGTCACTTCTTCCTGTTCTGATGAGTGTCATGATCCGTCCACATCCAGGCGTAGCACACTGGGGTGGATTAGAGCGAAGAACATTGTTTTGCTGCAAAAACGTAACGGCACTCTCCTCGTCACTGGCAATTTGAAACAATCGGTTCAATGGCGCTACAGCCATCAGGAAAAAAGGCACACTAGCCTAAAACTAAACTCAAATGTTTAAAAATGCGTCGAAACACCACAATCGCAAAAATGCCGTAAATAAGAAATAGCAACAATCGCCAAATTCTCTACATTAAAAACACTGACGGCATTAAAAACACTGACTGCATTAAAAACACTGTACATTAAAAACACTGACTACATTAAAAACACTGACTACATTAAAAAATGCTGAAGAGAACAGAGATTCCAACTTTGATCATGTAGGTAGTTTTGGGACAAGTCGTAAACGTGCGTGTTAAGTAGTCATGTATGAGGTGCGCAGCAAAAGTGTGAGCGAGAACGCACTCCCGTCGAGAAGCGGAATTGAATGTGAGTGAACTGTTGCTAGAGTGAGACGGTTGTGATTAGTCTGGTTAGACACCGGCCGGTAGTTAGTGTGTGTGGACTTGTAAAAAATCGTAAAAGAGGATCTATAGGTGAAGAAGAATATCTCAGTGACCTGACGTGCATATAGGTAAGAATCAGCTACAGTCCGTGCCGGCTTTAAGCACGCTAAACAGCTCTTACCGAATTTTTGCTATAAATAAATGAAACGCCTTTAAGCAGGGTAACTTCGGCTTCAGGCACGCTTCATTTACAAGACAGTCAATACTTTCATGAGTGTGTTAAAAGAAAAACACAAAGAACGCAAGTGATAGAGACACACACTCACATGCGCGGAGAGGAAGGCGGAGAGATGCAAACAGCCGCAGGCGTGGACATACGATCTCGCCTTGGGCAAAGCTAAGCAAAGACCAAAAAAACCCAAAAAATGCTAAGAGAGTCGGGGAGACAATAAAAGGGGGCAGGCTGTGCTTTCTCCTTATTGCCCCTCGCTATCCCATAATCCTGATCTGGTATCGCGCGCGAGGTGAGATCACAGAACACGGTCTTTGGGGGGATGAAGGCAATGGTATGAATGTGGTACAGCGGGCAGTGGTACATTTAAGAACACTTATGCTTACTCCCTATGACCGTGCCTAAAGCTGGCGTGGACTGTATCTTGTTACAGATCACATCAGAATAGACGTAGACCGCATCAAGAGCTATGAAAAATTGCAACGACCCAGGTACATTGAGATTGAGCTGCAACAGCAAATTACATCATTTTAAAAGAAAGCAAAAAACATAACACACAGTAGAACAAGAAAATGTTTTTTAAAGACATTAAACAAAACACATAGATCTAGTAGGACAAGTAAATACAAAAGAACCATCAAAGAAAAAACACAATAGATCTAGAACAAGTAATTAATAAAAGAAAACGCATAAGATAAGATAAGATACATCTTTATTGTCTAGATCCAAACACACACACACACCCACACACGCACATGCACCCCCCCTACACACACACAAACACACATACACCCCCCCCCCCACACACACACACACGCACAAAATAGGCCGTATGTAGTATAGGCCCTATTATCTCTCGATTTCTCGATTAACCACGCATGGGCAAATTCATAGAAAACAGCAAATTGGCTATCGGGCATTTCAGTTGTTCAATTTGGCATATTATTACAACTACTGCTTCCGGTTATAATGTAAACAATCCAAAATGGCCGCCTCCTGAGCCGGGACATCACAAGTCGACTAGTGCCTCCTTTGCTTTTAGCTACGCTACTTTACATTGTGTGCTCTCCGCATCTGCTGCAAAATAAACCACAAATAAAAACAACAATATAACGCAAGCAGAAAACGTGTTGGAAAATTAAGAAACTGCATTTATATATTTATGATATATAATAAGTGATCATGTTCTCGTGAGAACGGAACGATAACTTTGATTTTAAACTTTGCAACCAAAACAAACCAAAAGCTGGGAGTCGTTTGCTAGCATTGCACTAAAAAACATCGTAATCCCGGTTTATATGGTGCGCACCATTTGACTCTATTTGGAACTAACTTAAGGGCAAAGTAGGGAGTTTTGTGCCTTCTCTCTTCCGAATGGACTCTGGGAGACTAGTGTTTAGCACTTTATTTGGGCACCTATGGTGAGCACACTTTGCAACAAAGTTCTTACAGAAGGTAAAGAACGGTTGCCATAACGTTGCATGGTTTAGGAATACAGTGGAGTCCACTTATAACGAGTCCTGAAATAAGGAGAAGTCTGTAAAGACACTATTCTAAAACCCCGTTTTTTTCCCTTCTTTATCTTTGTAAATGAAGTACTGCTATTGCGCAATCAGACAAAACATGCTAGTCAGTTATAGCGGAATATTATTGCTGCTGTGCACAGTGCAGGCCAATTATATATTACGTAAAAGCTTGCCAGTTGTGAAACTTGTTGGTAATCTAGCGAAACTAAGAATAGGAGAGCCAGGGTTGGGTTGATTTAAATCAGTTGATTAAAAAAAATTTTTAATCAACTTGATTTTTAAAATAAAAAAATCAGTGATTTAAATCACTGTTTTAAAAATTTATTTTTATTTAGTTTTTAACATATTTCAACATTCAGAATTCCTTTCCTTGGTTTCATGAAACAGATTTAAAAAAAAGGTTTAGTAGACTAGATCTAATATAATCATGCTTAAAAGTCTGCTTTCCCCACTGTCACTGTAAAATAATACAGTAATCAATTTACTTTTTTTTCATAATTGAAATTAGCATTTTCTTTTTCTTTTTAGACAAACACAAGCTCGCACACACACACACACACACACATAAACACACACACACACACACACACACACACACTAATAAAATGCAAGTTTATTTCTATGCATAATTACCCCCCCCCCCCCCCTTCCTTTTAGACTGACATTTTCTTCATTTTTTGTGTGTAGCCATAATTCACATATATAGCAGATAAAGTCTTTCTTTTGCAGTTGCTTAAATTAATCATTAGTTGAAATAAAGACAATGCATTTTGCTCTAAAAGAACATACTTTTAGCCACCAAAAATCCCGAACTGTGTCGACATAAAAAAAAAAAAATTAAACATTTTAAAAATCCAATTAAAATTTAAAAAATCTGAATTAAAATTTAAAAAATCGATTTTTAAAATTTTTATTTAAAAAATATAAAAAATCACCAACCCTGAGGAGAGCCCGCGTGTGTCAACAATGAAGGCCAGAGCAATTGAGTAGGGAGTGTGTGGCAAGCGCAGACAAGCAGAACGCATCGCATGATAGGCCAGCGGAAGCCTAGTCTAGATTATCTAGGCCTACCATGCCTCTCATTTCACCGATGCGGGGATGGAGAGGTCACAGCAATGTGATGGATGGAGCGAATGTGTGACATGCGCAAGCAGACGGAATGCACTACAGGGTGTGGTTGGGTGGGGGAAAACACAGCGGGCAAGTTAGCCCAGAGCCCTTTCTTTCTGATCGCCAACGAGCTGTCAGTCAACATCGCTAGCGCTAGAGAAAGAAACCTGATTTGATTTTTGGTCAAATAAGACCTAAAGGTCATGTTGAAACAAGATTATCATCTGGGGAGATAACAAAAAGAAATAAACAGAACACCAAACTCAAAGGTAGGCCTACTTTACTGTTTTCCTTGAATTTGTTACTAGATCCCTTATAGCGAGAACCTTGCTATAACGGACATTTTGCACCGGTTCCCTCCCTCTCGTTATAACAGGATTCCACTGTATACAGTAGTCTCCGCCTAAGTAAATTAGTTAGCCAGTCGTGAGGTGAACTTTCGCAGAGGTGAACAACTTGTGTTTCGCGCGCTCATATGACCTTAGCAGTTGCGAGCGCCGTAAAACCTTATACTATACATACAATAAGATCCCGGTGCTCGGGAGCAAGAAAAATGCTGGATCTTATGCGAACCGGGATCTTACCCGAATGGCCAGGGGGAAGAATCCACATCGTGGTCAGGCCCATAATCTGTACAATGATCTTTCCTTACTTTAATAAAATGAACTGACGTGACTCCAGTGCACTTAACATTCTTTTCAGAAGTTGGTTTTTCGCCTTTGTTTTTGTTTGGGGGGGGGGGGGGGGGCTTTTTAAAAAATACTGTGTCAGTTGGGAACCTGTTGGCTTCAAGTAATCCCCCCCCCCCCCCCCCCCCAAATGTTTTACTTTCCATCTTTAACGGAGTTCCCCGCCCATGTCATGATGCATCGTAAGTCGTTGTGCTTTGTCCACACCGACCAATTTTTTAAAAAATGAATGGCAGGTTCACTTCCAGCAGTTGACCCCATTACGCAGAGGCAATCAGACAGTCCTCGAGTAGGGGCGCCAGTCTGTCTAGGAAGTGAGAACACAAAACTGAAAGAGGAGAGCGATGATCTTGAAAAAGTAAGCGTCTACGAGTTCACAGTTTGATGGAATGCAGTTTGACGCTTGCTTGTAGGCCCTCCCCACCTTGTGTGTGATGTAAGATCAGGTGATCAAGGAAAGCAAGGCATCGATGAGTTCACACCTCGGTGTGATCCCATCTGGGGCAAACATTATAACCTCTTACCACTATTTACAACAGAGGTGTGATCACATTCATGAGAGTGAATGATCAGTGACAGACAGTACAATGATTGCACATTTTCGCTACTTGGTTGATGAGCTGAGCGCGCCCAGGTTTCTTTTATTCTTTTTTTAAAATGATTAAATAGGAAAAATAACCAAATTATGACCTGAAAAGCTCGGGATCTTAGCCGAATGTAGCTCCTTCAGTGCAGGATCTTAGGGGTGACTGTTATAGTAAAAATTCTGTTTTAGGCGAACCGGGACCATAAGCGGTTGGATCTTAGACGGAGTCTGCTAACTGTATTATTATTCAAGTCTATACTTTGCTTACGGAAGGTTAGAGTTAGAAGGCGAATATAATACGCAGAGTAATTTTTATGCAAATTTTTATATTTCTCACATGTTAGATAGGCTATGAAAGCTTTTATTTCACATGTGAAATTAGGATTTATTTTACCGGAAGTGCAATGCTAGATCTAAACAACTCCAAGTATGGTATAAATAAGAAACTCTATTTTGCTCTTTTCATGATTGAAACATCATGCGTAAATGTGTGGGTTCTCCACAATCATAATGTGTGGGAGGAATACATTATTTTTTATGACCACCTCAATAAAGAAGAGACTACAGAAAAAATAAAATGTAAAGACAAATTGCGTATGAAAGACCAGTGGAGGGTGTCACAGTGTCCATCTGGCCTGGGGCAGCCTGGACATTGCACTTTTGCTCTCTCATGTTAAAATTATAATGCTGGATCACAATCAAGGCGACGCCCAATATTACATCATTAATTAACAAATTCTTGAAGTAAAGTATAAGCAAAGTACTGCAGTTCCTTTCATCATGAATAGGTCAGAGCATTTGTAATCTTTTACTACAGCAAGTCTCAAGTTGTCACCAATTAATTTTGATGCTCTGGAGTTGGACCCAAAATAGAATTGAATATAATGCATTTTATCCAATCAATAATTTAAAATAGCCTACACCACAACAACAATAACAAGTCTATGAAGCGTCTACTTGTTTTTGTTTGGGGGGGGGGGGGGAGGTTCCTTTTTGAAAAGTTTTCCCTCAGAACCTGGGATACTAATGTCATAAATATGTTTCTTTTTTTAAACTCTATTGTGTCCAGTAAAACCCTAATATTGAACTTTCTCAAAGTGATATTTATTAAAAAAATTTATGACTGATATATTTTAATATACTCACAATTTGAAGACACCCATGTATACATTGTATATTTAACAAACCTTTTTTTTTCTCTTTTATCTCTCCCCAGAAACACTGACAAAATGCGTCAACTCAAAGGAAAAGTAAAAGAAACAAGAAAAGAGAAAAGGGAGCGAAAGACTGAAAATCTTGAAAATAAAAGTAACCTTTGGAAAGTCACCATACCAGTGCTCACTGGTCTATTTCTACTTATAGGTTTGTTTGTTTATGTGAACACCAGGCCAAAGCAGAATGCCATATATGATGAATGAATCTGACAGAAACGTTGCATTTGTTATTTTTATTATATTATAATGTATAAAGGGTGGTGCAATGGGTAATGCAGAAAATACCATGTCTATCTGATGTTTCCCTCTTAAGCATAGATTCCCACATTTTTTATTTTTACTCATTTCATTCCCAAGCGTGTTAGAGCGTGTAATGGTCTGATTTTTCCTTATATGACTCTCAATTGTAGATTCCCATATTTTTTTATTTTACATTTTTTTTTTTACTCATTTCCTTCCCGAGCGTATCATAGTGTGTAACATGCAAACTGGTTTGTTTGTTTTCTGTAGGTTTTTTTCTGAAAATATGTCTCATAATGTCTTTTTGGTTAAAAATCCTGTAGCAGAGACCGACATACATGTTGCTTCTCTACTACATTTACTTGTAAATTTTGAATAGATAGGCTATATAAATGTATTATTTAAATGTAAATGGAGGAGACAGGGACCATTCTGTGATTCTGACTAGTCAGGACTACATGTTCAGGTTCAATTTTAAAAAAAACAGCCTGACCAATGCTCAAAGTAGTCAAAGATCAATGTTCAACAAAAGTAAAAGTGAATTTAAACCGCTGAGGCAGCGGCCGAAAAAAAAAGCCAATGAAGCAGACATCTAGAAATGAATTTCTGTCAATTACTTTAATAATTTGATTGCTACCTAATAATAAGCCACATGATGAAAGTAAAAACGCTCTCGTTCTAGGGTTCTAGAGATGTGGATGTCCTCCCAGAACAATAGATGCCCCTTACATTTACTACAGTAAAAGCAGTTAAGGCTAATTGGCACCAGCAATGCTCAAAGTCGGAAAATTTGGCGTTCAGTCTACACCATGGTGAAATACAATGGAGATTGCATAAACTTAAACTGAAGGCGATTAATCTGAAAACGGGGGAAGATGAAAGAACATGCAATCCCTGATTTTTCCTTTGCTATTTTGAGCAATCTCTCTAAACTCTAAACAGAAAGCATGGATGAACCGAAGAAAATCCAATGGTCCTGCAGATTTCAGTGTAAGCAGACTGCACTACTTAGTTCAATGATCTTTCTAAAGGGATAAAAGTCTGTCAAGACTGAATGAAACTCTTGTACTGTTCTACTTCATTACTTATTCTTGTATTTTGAATTTGCATCAAATCTTCACTGCCTGTCTGAGTTTTCTTGTGAAACATTGCAATTTATTGTTTTCAAGTTTTAGTTTTTTTAAAAGAAAAAAATAGTCCCCTGCCATGTTGGTTCAGGCTATGCTATCTCTGGAAACTTGCAATACAGGACTGTAGTAATGAGAACTGCCTGTTTTACTTTTTGACAATTTTTCTGTGCCTTGTGTTGTTTGTGTAAAAGTAAAAATTTGTGACAGTTTGTTGTTTTTTCCTGTATACTTTTAGTTTTTATGATATTGTGAGCTGAAATGTTGGGAAATCCCAGAGAAATTTATATTAGATGTTGATCTATTTATAAAGAAACGAATGCGGTTTGTTATTATGAAGCAAGCATCTGCTTTCTCCTATCACCGGCAGTGTATAGTAAGGTCCACATTTTCTTTCTAAAGGATTTTTGCTATTTTTTTTAGACCATTCTCATCCCCTTACAGTTGTAGACTACAATGTATGATGTTTTATTGTATTTAGATTCAAGTTTATAGAGAAGTGAAAGATTTATGCAAACAGAGCCCTGATTGGTTGAATGTTTGTTTATCTAGCAATATGAACATATGTATACAGTTGAACCTGTCCAAGACAATTATATATTCATTATCGGTGAGAATAGTGCTCATCTTAGACAGGTAGGCCTCTTGGAGAAAGTCATTATAATTATAGTAAATTATAGGAAAAAAATGCAAGAGGGGGGTTGGTGGAGTGGAAAATGATCGTTTGTGCTGGTTATTTTCTTGGGCAGGTTGGACTACACACTACAAACACACTCTCACACACACACATACACACACGTACGAAACATTATTCTTTTAAATGACTTCTTGTTTTGAAGGCAAGGCCAATAGTGTAAACCTTGACTTATTGCAAAACTCTTTATTTCCTGAGTTACATCAAACAAAATATAGCTTTATGTTATAGTGATCCCTGACTTCAGTGTTGTACCTACTGATTTTGTTGTATGTGCTCACAGTAAGTAACACAGAAGGGGAATCAAGCATTTACCCACTTGGCATCGGGCTATATATTATATGTACAAGCCCAAGAGCAATATCAAACTAGATAGGTGTACTTTAAAACATACACTTGATGATTATAATATTGTGATCTTTAGTCAACTTTTTTCCTTCTTTGTGTGTAGAGACGTCAAATGTGGCAAAATTCTGTTTTCTTTTAAATGTTTAGTCTTTGAAATAAAAAATGTTATTGCCATTCTTCGTCGTGCAATGAATGAAGGCCTGCTTTAGAACACCTCCATAACACATCTTGTGTGATTAACATAGTATTGTATGCATTGTACCTGTCTCCCAACAGTTGCAACATAAGGTTGTGTTCCCAGTGATGGTCAATTGTCGGGTCACTTTGTTGTTTTTTTTACATTGTCTAAGGTACTTAGTTTTTCACACAGGATCTCAAATTAAGCTGTTGGCGGGTGGAAGGTTCATAAATTCGCATCAGCACTACTACTGTGTGTCCAGCCAAAATTTTTTGCTTTTAAACTAAGTGTTTTTATGCCCACATGGACACACTTTAGAATCATTAGAGGCGAACATCGACTCTGCCTGTCACTGACTGTCGGAGTCAACTAGGACAGATGGATACTAACATCTCACCAGAAAGACTGAGAAATTGTTTATACCCTCCCAACTCAGGGTCTTCTGCGTGCATTGTGAAAATACGAACTGCTACAACAAAGACGCCAATGCCAAAATGTTGACAATCATTGACGTTCAGATATGAGGCATGGTGGAGACTTGTTAAAAGAGAAATAAACCAATTTGTGCAAATTGTAAAATTATGTTTTCCTTACCAGTCTTGCTGGTGCAAAGAAAGTCAAAAGTCTTGATTTTAGAAATTGCTATCTTTATTCAGGTTTTGTGTTCTTTCCTTTCTCTACAGTTTGTGGCGCCTGTTTTGGGGAAAGAAGCAAATTTAGATTTATCAGATAGAATGAAGGCATTATTATTTTATTGTCATTTACTATTATAATTATTTTATTGTCATTTACTATTATTATATATACTAGTTGGCCAAGGTACTGTGATGGTAGCAGGAATACTTTAACATAATTAAAATAATGCTTTTTTGTTGTTTTTGATTCAGATACAATTGTAAAACCATAAAATTATATTTATATATTATATTTCCTTGTGTGCCTCTGAAGTGAAGAAATTTCTCGAAGTTTTGTCTTCATTTTTTGTGAAAAGAAAAAGTTCAGTTACAGTAAACTTTAGCCCTCTATTCTAAACTCAATTGACCTGTGTGCATATTTTTGGGGGGAGCCACACTTGGTTATGAGTAGTAAATTAGGTTGTCTTTGTTTTGCATTACGATGGTTTTTCTCCCAATAGAAGGAAGGTTTTTTTGGGGGTTTTTGTAGGGCCTACAATCACAACTACAACAAGAAGGTAGACTTTTAGTGACTCTTCTACAGAAACTTATGACTGTTCAGACTATGGCCTCTCTCCTCAGCATTTGGAATTTTAAGTGTAAATCTGTTTGGACTTCTCGGTTGACATCCACTCTTTGGTGCTCATATGTGAGCTAGCGTGGTGAAATCAGGCGCTCTTCAAAATAAGGAAATTGAAGAAATTGGCATTTTTTCGCCGGTTTGGCAATTTTTATAGGAAATCTGTTTTTTGGCTCATCTTTTAAGTCCATTTAAGAACCCTTATAGTTAGGGTTAAACTGAAAAACTTTGATTAAAGGCACAAAAAATGTAAATTGTCTGTTTCCATGGACTCTCAGGCTATGTAAAAGTAAATAACCAAATTTTGGCAGCCATTTTCTCGCTAATTTTACTCCTGAAACCAAGCGACCCCAACCTCTTTCAATCGCAGATATCTCGACTTGTATTCAAGATATATATTCATGGGTATTTCGTTCATCGAAAGCAAGGCAAATTGTTCAAGCTTTAAGACGATACCAATAACTCCATATGCCCAAAAATGGACGAGCGCCTGGTTCCGCCATGCCGTGACACATAAATGTCCTTATGCAGTTGCGAGCGCCGTAAAAACCTTACTAAAATAAAGTGTAAATCTTTTGCCAATGAAAAACAAAAACAAACTCATTAACATACCCTACTTATGTGTATACTGAATTCTATTCTTCACTGCTTTAGCCACACAAAAAATAATGCAAAGTTGTTAGCTTGAAGACAATACTCTTGACAGTTCCATATATAATCCATAGTAGAAAATATAAAAGGTTATGAATGTTTCATTATACTGTGAGAGTGAGATGTTTCTATCAATGTTTTTTCTAACATGAGCCTTGAAACTGATGTCTGTGATGTAGCAGTTTGGCTCTTTATCCTTCCCAAGTAGGGTACTGTATCTCTTCTTAGCCTGGATTGGCACTTATAAACAGTCAAAGCAGCCAGCCTCCAGATGGAGCTAATTTGTTTTGTTGAGGACATTTAACATTGACTGTAAAAGGAACAGTAAAAACATGAAATAGGATTGGGATTATCCCCACGTTACTTTTATTTGGTTTTTATTTTTTGACATTATGAGTAGGCCCTAAATGTATGGTGCTGTGTGCGCAGGGACTTTATTTAATCTGCTTGTGCTTTTTATTTTCTGTCTAATGGTGATGGTAGGGCCTACATTTTTTTGTGTGCCTTTTAATTTTTTTTTCTTCTATAGATCTAACTATCAATCAAAACTTTTATCAGTATTAACTTGATCTGTACCATACAAATTGTTTTCCCTTTTGGAACTTTTTGTCTCAAAGTAAAAATTCGGAAGTGCAAAAAATGACAACATGCTGCAAGGAAGGGGTGTACATTTGCAGAGGAGAGATTGATAGAGGATGTCATGTGTGTCTACAGTGACAATAATTGTAATGGGATGTTTATTTTAAAGGCTTAAAACGGGTGCAGTTTGCCGTGTATTATGATTTCTCTTACATGATGTCATATTATACAACAGTATTTAGTGATCTTCTTATTATATTTATATAATTTTTGCCGCTTGAAATTTTTGTGGCGTGTACACATGTATCCTACACAAAGAGTTTTGCTTGGTTTTTCTGTTACTTTTATCCTGTATCAGTGCAATTTTGGTGAGTGGTTTTGCTTCTTTTTTTTTTTACTTTAGTAATGTATTATTTTGTGCTGTGGATTACATGCTCCTCAGTACATAGATCAATTTATATAATGTAACATGTATTGTTAATCAGTAAGTGATTCATTATTTCTGAAAAAAACGTAACAAGACAAGGAAAGGGAAAAAAAGTAACTCCACTCCTGATTTGAGTTTAAGACTTGGCACACTTTGTTTTCTTCTTGATCTTGTTATAATTGTTCCATTTTTACTGACTGACATTACTGACAAAATCAAAGATCTGTTGTTTTTTTATGTGACGGTGCATCAATAAATTATTTTTTATACTTATTTTCTGCTGGTTTCTACATTGTGTTACTGTTACTGTGGAATTTTACAAGAAGTAGAATCTGTGTTTTTTTTCTGTTACGTACCAAAGTTCTGTGATTCCTTCTTCTGTC